CTGTACAACGGACTCACAAGAGACTTGGAGAACCAACCCAGAAGAGAGAGGAGAGGGAGGAGGAGGAGGAGAGGAAGAGGAGAAGGAGAGGAGAGGAGAGGAGTCAGATGCAGAGGTTGCTCATACAGAGCAGTGATACCCAGAGAGGATATTGAAGCAGGGAGTGAGGTAAGCGGGGAGGGGGGTGAGGGAGGGAAAGAAAAGAGGGAGAGAGTGGATGGATGGAGGAGAGAAGAATGAAGAATAACATTGAATGACAGAGCATTTTCAACTAGGAGCAAACAAAGGCTTTTCTGAAAGCTTTCAAATCATCTTTTTTTTGCCCCACAAATCCATTCTGGTATTTGTCCTTGATGGTCATATTAATAAAGACCCGATCCAGAATCTGACTATAGACCTTTGTTAAAGGAACAGGCCAACATTTTGGGAAATATGCTTGTTTGCAGTTTTACCAATATAGATGTTAAGATTGATGCATTTTACCTGTGTTGCCAACTTCCAGACATGTTGACCTCAGCAAAACAAACATGGGGAAAATACATAAAGGTTTTAGGAGCAATTAGTTTATGTATTATTGCCACGTCTTCATAACTCTTAAAGGCCCAGTGTGTAAGATTTAGTGGCATCTAGCAGTGAAGTTGCAGCTTGCCATTAACTGAACACCAGGTTAACATATTTTCAGTACACACTGGACCTTTAACTAATCCCAAATGTGTGTTTATGTTTCTGCATGAAAGAAGTCCTTGTATTTTTTTCTGACTGGTTGTATTTCTTGAGTCTAAAACATCAACAATAAACATCAGGGTTTTGTTTGTCCAATGAATAGCTTCATTCTCACAGTTTTGCACTGATGCTCAGCAATCATACAGCCAAAGAAAACATCATTTTCTCTACTAACAAAAGCCTCAGTAGATCAGAATGCAATTCTATCACAAAATTTTGACGTTGCTCTTATCATGTACATGTTTGATGTGGGAAATATAGGAACTGCATTTACTTCACTAACTGGAAGATAACAGGCCGAAGCAAATAGGGAACCATAGACTATTGGTACGTACACCACAAAAAACCCTGCAACAAATCATGATACAAATCAACTCCTGGAATAAAAGGGAATTTTCCATACATTTCTTTGCCTAAAGGCACCTTGATGGTGCAAATGAAGCTACTGCAATCCTTGAACAGTGAAATGGTTAACTGTAGTTGCCACTAGATGTAAAACTTGTTCTCTCTCTGCACTTCCTGCAATTCTTTTTTGTATCCATCCCTTTTATGACCCTCCATGCAGCAGCATCCATTGGGGACGCATCCATGTGACGTCATCCCAGACAGGTATTTCTGCTCAGACAGGGAGGGTAGAGAGAGAGAGAGAGAGAGTGGAGGAGTAAAAGAGATGAGGTATGAGAACATTACGCATTGGGTCGACTCCTGGCAGAGTGAGAGCTTAAGTGAAATGGTTCCCCATGGGAGAGAGACAGGTACAGGGAGAGAAATGTAGTGGGACTCCTTGCCAGTCTGATTTGTCTCATAAAAACAAAAAAGGGACAGAGGAGGACATAAGAGATGGGACAACTGAAAAAGTAAAGGACACAATGACAGGGAGACAGGGCTGTTCCTGTTTCTGGAGCGGAGGAGGAGGTTGTAGTGAGAGAAGATGGCAGGGTTTATACCAGCATGGCCCTTGCTTAGCCTGCGCTGACGGACTTGTTGTCCTGAAGGCCTGAATGATTTATTAAAGTGAGGAGTGGCAGAGAAGAGGGCAGCCAGGCGAGCTCTGATTAACTAGGGGAGCGAGGGAGGACAAGCACTCCTCTATTATTCATTACTCCACAGGAGCGCAAAGTGGGAGCATGGCTAGAATAGCCGAAGTATAGGGAAAGGAAGAAGCAGAAGTAAAGTGGACATTTTTGCAGGCTGATTTTCCTCTTTTTTGTATATTTTATTTTGTTTGTTTCCCAATTGTTAGCGTGTGCCCTTGATGCAGGACTGGCTGGATATCAGTAAAGCGCTGCGTTTCTGCAGGGCCACAAATCTGTCTGCTTACCTCAGTGTCTAAATGAGAGTGGAGCATGCATGCATGCAAAAATGCAGGCGCACACACACACACACACACACACACACAAACGGCCACACAAACACACAGGATCTCCCTTCAAGGCAGTTTGCTGGCTGTCACATACAATACTCTCAAATATAGGGAGACATCAGTCCAGTTCTGGTCTGGACTGCTGGAAAACAGACATGGAATGTGGTATGATTGCATCCAACTGTGGTTGGATGTGGTGGCAACCATGTAGAGCTACAAAAACACACATTTACACACTTGTTTTGTTGTCCGTAAATAATGAAGCACAGTTCTTGCTGAGATCACATTATAAGATACTTTCCTGCCACCGGCCTGACAGAACCAATCTCCTCAAAAGTATAACTGAGAGGGGTGTCTGTTCAATACTTAAAAGGCAAAAACATACAACATTGATGACCTGTGGGTCTCCTGGTTGACAGATGCATTGTATACCCCAGTCATGTCTGCAACAATATATGTGTGCATAGATATGAGACTTTTTTTTATTTCAACTCCATATCCACAAACAAAAACACAAACCTGACGCCTACTTTATACATTTTTTCTCTTCCTCTTTCTCACAATCAGAACAGGTTTCAGATCGTAATAGCTGATTCTACTTGCTGTCAGTCATTGCAGTTGTAATGGAGCACATTTGACGTGGTTGAGTGGTTTATAGATTATCCTTGCATTCTTCTGGCAGGTATCCCATCAAACAGAAAATTGTGTGGTGCACTCAGAAAGATATTGCATTCCCTCTATCACCCTCTTTATTTCTCTTCATTCAATTTTCCCATCCTGCTTTGTCATTGTCTCACCCCTTCTATTTCTCTGTATAGCCTCACTCTGTTCCTTACTTCATGGCTGTAAAGCCCATCTGCTCTTAGTACTCTTATGTGTTTATTTGACAGCAGCAGTTGAGGGCTGGCCTGTCGTGTCAAGTGGGGTTGTCAGACCCTGATGGGCCAAAGCGGCTAGCTCCGATAATGGCCGGCATTTCTGAAATCACAGTGTGTATGTGCGTAGGTAAGGGTGGCGGGGGCAGCGAGGCAGAATTGAATACAGTGAGGAGAATGTGAATAAGATAAAAATAAAAATGTGCAACCACGCCGCAGACTGGGCAAGTAACCGTGCTCCTCCCGCCACCCTGAACCAGCTGGCTGCAGACCATGTCAATAAAAGTTCATTTTAGTCCATCATGATTATAATGGGGTTTCAATGAGGCATCAAATGAGTTCTGCTTGAACAGAATCATTGTTCAGCACAAAACTCTTTACTGCTGCAGATACAATTCTTTCTCCAGTGCTGCACTGTCAAAGAGCAACAAGGAGAAAGAAGTGCCTTGAGTGTGACTATATGTTTGTTGGCGTACAGCACCAAAGAAAATGTGAATTTGTGGTTGCAGGCAGGAGCATGGCTGAGCCTCAGTGATCAGAAAAATAGGAATTCCAATCCAATCCAACAGACCTGCAGTAGATAGTTCTCAGAGAAATGTAATGTTTATTTTTTAATTTCAACAAGAAACATTCACAAATGTAGCAATTATTAGAGTCTTTTTTCGCCTTAGATTGTGTTTTCTGCAGCAAATATTCATAATCAGTTATTTTAATTAGTGGTTCCCCATTTGTTTTACTTATGACCCTTTAAACCAAAAGCAATGTCTTTGCAACACCTCTTGTCATAGATTTAATATCTATGACTTATGAGCAGCAAATAATAAAAGCATAGGAGTAAACCAAGAGGTTCCCTTCTTCCAATAAAAAAACGAGAAAAATGAGAAAAGAATATACAAAAAATTATCTCATCTTGTGACCCACGTGTTGGGAACTAGTTTAAATGACTGCCACTCATCTATTTGATCATCTAAACCAAAGAGTTACTAAATGCAAAATGTGAAAAACTTTAATGGAGGAAAATTTAATTTGCTCTATGTGAATAATTATGTTCAATCTGAAGAGACTCTTCTTATTCATCCTCTCTTTCAGGTTGTATTTTTCTTTCTAGAAACCTGCTGAATGAAACCACAGAGTCACATTCTCTCACCTCCTTGGTTGAGGTGTTGGCTTGGATCAAGAAATATAATGTTTTATGAATAAAGATGAGACTTAACATGGGCATTTTACAGTGTATGCTCCTTATCTTCGCAGTGGCCCTTGAGTCGAGGCCAAGAGGAGATCTGTTTCAGCAGAACATTATGTATGCTGCCGCTGGCCACTGGACAGTTGACTCCACTTAAATCATCTAAATTATTCACCAGAAAATCTGAAACACTACCTTAGTTCACCACAGTCACACACCATCGTGTGTGTGAGTAAATTGTGAATGTGTTTGTCTCTGTGTATGTCATCATCATCATATATTTTTCATAATCTACATAAAATTAAAAAAGAAAAACATTAAAAGAGAAACAGCAGTCAGCTTCAAACAATGTTGACACTAATCTTCCTCAGGGATTGTGATGAAGCATACAAGCGTTGGTGTTTTCTTAATACCAGTGGGGTAGAGATAGTCTACAGATCAAAAGGCTTGAGTCAGACTTAATTAAAAAAATATTAATCGTGTGTGTAGTTTTTTTAGTAATTACCCTTGTGCATAATAGTGCAGCTAATTGATTCATTAAGAATCACAGCAGTCGCCTGGGTGCTCTGTGGTGTAAAAGAAACGGAGAGGGAGAAAGAACATGAGAATAAATATAACTTCAAAGAAACAAAGTACTAAGAAGGTTTAATATAACACACAACACAGAGGACTGATACTGCACAAAACAGCCACAATAAATGGTGTTTTACTATGTTTTAGTTTATATTTGCTGGTAGTATTAATGAAATGTTATGCTGATACTGAATTTATACTTGATTATACAGTGTCATCTGCTGGTCAGTAAAGGACATTTCACATTTATTTTAAGCCACAAACATATGACTGTGACAAAAGATTTCAACGGAAACCAAAAGCAAGTGACTTGTATTTATTGAATATTCAAACATTTGGTCACTGTGTCTCCCTTGGGAGGGGTTACAGGTTTAGTGCACAGCAGTCCCTAGCAACAAAGGTGTTACACTGAAAACTGATAACATTAAAAAAACTAATTCAAATACACACACATCCACAAAAAGACCAATTTCACTGTCATAGAAAACCTATGATCTCTTCCAAACGAGTCATTAAAAAGAATATGTAAAGTCTACAGCCAAATTGGCAGGAAAACATTAAACGTCCCTCTTAAAAAAATATTTGGCTAGAAAAATCATGAATGTGGTTGTTATTAGGATCCATCAACAGAATAAAAAAAGTTGCTTCACACAATAAAAGTTCCATCGAAACTCCTGATTACTCACTTCTTTGATGCAGCAGCAGACAACTCTGCTCACAGTAATGACTAGATTGATTTTGCTCTCACTGAAGCAGCCCTTTTTCTAAATTGAGCAATCATGGGTCATGTTTGCTGCCGTCATACAGCTACATTGACCTCGCTGATGAGTGGACAGAACACCAACAGCCACTGTTTGCATTTTGATTACCATCCAGCTAATGAGTCAGAAATGTCACCTTCTGACTGGAACACAGTGGAGCAAAACAGCAGGGGAATATGTCCCTTTTGTAACCTTTGGAATAACAGACAGAGCTTGACAGAAAGGTTTAGCAGAGTACAAAGTTGTAGCCTTACTAGAAAAAATATCCTACAGCAGAGTCAGTACAAATGATGTCTTCTAAAAAGATTCATCCTTGTCAGCGAGGCCAAAATGAATACTGAGAACTCTCCTTCAACTCTCCTTGACTGACGGATCAAAAACATTTTTCATGCCCCGCAGCAGTACATGCTTTTCATTATCACACAGACACAGTCCTTTCAAACAACACTATGAAGCTGTTAGTTTTTTGAGACAGTCCTTGCACCAGTTTGACCAGGGTTGATCATCGAGAGATCACTCAGCAGAGAGATTTTGGCCGAACTTTTGGGAAAAGCTGGAAAAAAAAAACAAAAAAAATATTAACATTCATGTTTTATTTCTGCATTATGGCAAGAAAATCAGCTGGCGAAGCCTAAAACTCTTCGTGTGGTAGCTCACCCCGAAGTAGTTGTTTGGAACGAAGCCCTCCCTGCCGCAGAGAGAGGCCCACCACCAATCCGACCCTTCCGGTTTCTGCAGGATGGTGACCATGTCTCCCTCTTTGAAGCTCAGCTCATCGGCTGCCTGAGCTGGGTAGCTCCAGAGAGCGTACAGCACCCCGCTGTTCTCCACCCCCATGGCTTCCTCCACACCTGGTATTACAAAGAAAGGAGGATATATCTATGCACGTCTAACACTTACTGTACCAGAAAGTGAGTTTCAATTAGTGATCAGGAAGACAAGTGGTGTTTCTTGACTGAAATGGTTACAGGTAATAATATCAGCTTTTGATTAAATATCAGATGTGTAAAAATTCATATTTCACTAAAACAGCTTCTACTTTATTTTCTTACAAAGCCTGTCAGTGTATACCAGTGAATACAGGTAGGACACAAGATCGGTGTGTTTTAAACAGTGTTTCAAAGGCTTTTCCGGCCTGCTAAAAATGAAGATTTGGTATGAAATACAAAATAGTTTAAAGATTGCCTCACAATGTGTCCTGTTGCAGTGTCCTTGAATAAGACACCAAGACCCCTATCTGTTGTATCTCCCTGCTATGTTAATTTAGATGGGAATATTGAATAAGGCCCACAAATGTAAACTTCAGTTTTATGAAGGGTATTTTGGCATCAGCTATATTATTTGCTTGAATGTTGTGTTTGCCAACACAAGTATAGTTTTGAATGACTAATGGAAGACTAAGCTCAAACCTGTCACATCTAACCATCACTTTATGATTCATCCTACAATGATGACTTTTGTATTTAATAGTGCAGTGTCATAAGGTGTGTGTGTGTGTGTGTGTGTGTGTGTGTGTGTGTGTGTGCGCGCACATGTGTAAGTGTAATTGCCTCACCCCTAAGGAAGCTCTCACACTCCTCAAACCCGACAGCATAAGGATCGCACTTCTGGGACGCAGTAGCGCCGTCGCTCTGTGTCATGGCCATGACAGCAGCTCCATTTCTCACCAAAAACTCACACAGAGGACGGTCGTTACAAGAGGCTGCACAATGCAAAGGAGTCCTGTGGGCCAAAGAACTGGCAGTAAATAAATACATCTAGAAATACAAGATTGCTGTTCTGAAAATGTTACATTAAGACACATTATGAACTCCACACTTTTAGCAAAACCCTCACCTTGAGAGTCTCAATGGGAACTGAACATGCCACTTTTAATGTACTGATTTTTCACAAAATCTAAATACAATGAGATGAGTGAGAAGAGAAGTGACTCTTTACCAGCCGTGACTGTCTGGTGCGCTGACATTGGCTCCAATGCGAACCAGGAAATCCACAACATTGTAATGGCCCCCGCAGATTGCATTGTGAAGAGCAGTGATGCCTTCATCATTGGGTTGGCTAGGGTCGTTCATCTATGGAAAACATTTCACACAGAGAGGATTCATCAGCTGAACTGTAATCACTTACGTTACAAGAACTTCTGCTCTAAGATATTCTCATGCTTTTACTGTACATATCAATAAAGTGTGATGTTGAATGTAAATTATAACTGGTTTATTCACTTAATCCTCTTTCTGGAACTACTGTCAGGATCACATTGAGCCAGCACCCAACCCCAACTTTGCTGAAATGGAAGCTGTTTTACCGCATGAGAAACTACCAGGAAAATGTATTTCTGTATAAAGAAGATGCAGGGATGTGTTGAATAAGGGAATGCAGGCTCAGCAAACCTTCCCTGAGAGAATGAAAGTTAAATATAACATTTCCCAGTGCTTCTTAAAGTCTGCATCCAAATCTGGAGCACCAACTTTGGCACTTTACTGTCTTTATTCAGACTGGTTGAATGAGTTTAAAATGTATCAATGGAGGCTGCTGATGTGAGGTAAAGATAAAATGGGGGAATTAGTATAAATTGTTACTATTTATACTAATTTATTTATTTAATCTCAATAGATTATGTTTTTATATAACAATGGTAGTCTTTACATTTTGAATTTGTTTCTTTGAATCAATTTGACCCTTTTTTACATTTTGCTTGTTTATTAAAACATATATATATTATTTGTATATAATTATTAGAATGGGTTTAGTATTCTAGGCATTATAACTATTACTGAGAGTAGCAGCAGTGTCAGTATACTGTATACAATTAGGTGTATGTCTATTAGTATACACACACACACACACACCTCCTGCACGGCCCTCTGCACTGTCTCCAGTTCTCCGACCAGCGCTCCGTCCAGTAGCAGGACGAGCGGGCTGAGCCGTGCTCGCTTTCCAGAACCTTTGTGTTCCCGGTTGGACCGGCGCAGAATGGAATGGTAGCTCTGAAGCGACAAACAGGATGCAAGCTCGTATAAAGTAAAACACTTGACTGCAGAGATGTTGTTCACCACAGTTAGTTAAAACAAAATGTAACATAACCCATTTTATATCCAACTGTATATCAAAAGCATTTAACAGAACTATAACCTACTTCTTGCCATCTTTGGTTCAATAGAGGTAAATCAGTCGATTGACAAGTATTTAGGGCAAGCTATTTCACTATCTACATTGTTGGCTAGCAATGACTCAGGTATCTGGGAAATATACTACATTTGGATTGGTTGTGTTACAAGCTGGCCAACAGAGATAATAACTTCTTGATAACATCGCAACCCCTCCTTGAAAAATGGATGACTATCTTCAGTGGAACTCTATCTTAAGCTGCCTGTCAATGCACTTTAAAATAGGAGACAACTGCATCGTAAATACTGGTTCTTCCAGTTACGCCTGTATGTAAATACAGCTGCCATTGACCAAAACTTGTAATATGTGGTTGTCTTCTAATCATTTAGGGTTTTCTTTGTTGCCTTTGTTGCATCTGTTGTCCTTTTCATCCCCACATTTACCATCTAAGCCCATTTCTTACTCTGAAGTCGTGGGGAATCAGTGTAGATGTTTGAGGAAAAGGTGCAGGAGGCATAGCGCTGTCCTCTCCGTCTGAAGAGCTGCTGCTCTCGCTACCTCGCTCCCCCTTCTGGCGACGTTCATTCCTGCGAAAAAGCTTGTCGATGAGATTTTTGTACTGGTTCGGCTGGTAATGGGAGGCCTTCTTCAGGGGCCGTGACTGGTCCACGGAGCCCCGTCTCTTCAGGGCCCGGGGGATTTCTGCCCGCATGCGGAGCAGCTCCTCCAGGTTAGGAATCTCCTGGCTCTGGGCCTCAGGAGCCACCACTGGCTGTAGTCGGGTGGGGCTGAGGGGCCGGGGAGCTGGAGGTACGCCCTGCTCAACCTTCATACTGCCCTCTGGTGAGCTGGGAGTCTCCGAAATCACAGGCATGTAATGAACAAAGTCGAGCCGCTCTAACTCTGCATCTATATCCCCTGGGTTCAGCACTGCAACGATGGACAACAAACCACATTTGTAATGCACAGTTAGTTGAACAGAGATGTCGTGAACATAGAGAGTGTTAAATGTGTTATACCATCACTGTATATGGCTGGTTGTCTCAGCTCAGGGGGGGGTTGCTGTGGGTGGAATACAGGGTGGTTGGAGAATTCCCTTGGGAAGGGTACAGCTGGTAGGTAAGGTGTCATATCACCTTCTCCTCCCAGGGCTCTGGGGTGGTGGGTCATCATCGCTCCCCAGTGGGGGTTTTGGAGACGCATGATGACAGAAAGAGGGATGGGCCTGCGCTGACGGGACTGGGTAGATGTTGGAGGTATTGAAATACGGGAGATGATGGGCTGAGGGTGGAAAGGGGAGTGGGATGGGGACGAAACATCTGGAGGTATTGATATACGTGCATTACGGGGGAGAGAGCCCTGGGAAAACTGAAGAGAGCGAGGATCCTGAAAAGAAATAAGAAAAGAGGGATAAATTCGTACTAATTCGAGGGCTGGCGGAGAATTGCACTACTTTTAGCAGTTGTGGTGGTTTTCTGTACCATAGAGGCCAAAAATCTTCTTAAGATCTTTAAGGAATAAATGCTATGATTGCTTTTGAGTTCTACATTCTGTTAGTCACTTCATGCTGTTCTTATCTTTGAAACACAGAGCCAGGCCACTGTGGCTTCTCAAGAACTCACAATGAACACAAAGAAAAGTTTGGGCAACCACATAAGCCATAATAACAAATCTCCCAGAGCTCCTTTGTGACTGTTTCTCTGGTAACACTACCCACCTTTTTGGGGCTTGGGGCTGGAGGAGGGCCATCAAGGTTGGATTCTCTCCAGCTACTATTTGGCACAGACGGCCGTATCCACTCTGTCTCTGTAACAGGAAAGTGTTAATTTAGAAAACAGAGACCACATACAGTACAGGCAGAGCACCAGTGCCTCTTACATCTTGTGCCTAAATTGTTTGTCCTGGACTAATTCCACAACAAAATATGAAAGTTGTAAAAACTTGTAGTTGTAAAAGAGAAAGTAGCAGAAATCAACCGACTGTCATAGGTATGGTGAGGTTTCCTCTCGTAGGACACGTCCAGATCTGTCTCATTCCACTTGCCAGGACTCTTTTGCCACTGCACACCCTCTTCTGGGAAAGAGTGAAAAAATAAGAGCAAAACAAAACACAAAAACAGAGTGAGAGTGCTGGAAAGAGGGACAAATTACAAAAGGAAGCTTAAAAAGAACTTTTTTTTACAGGCCAGTATTTCTCCAAGACTTTTTATTTGTAGAGTTGAGGAATCTCCGAAAGAGCACTGTGGCATTAAACCCAGAGCAATTAAATTACTAGGTTGCATTTTCAGAGTTTTTTATTGTTAAAATGTTTATAAAGTGAAGGTCAAACTAGCATTACTCTACTGTACATCTATGAAACCCATTGGTAGGATGTTTTTGTTTTTTTGTCACAGTTCAGTTACATCTAAAGCTTCCAGAGCGTCACACCCACCTCTTAAAAAAACAGACTTGTTTAATTAACAACATAACATAACAATAACGCAAACTGAACTATGATTGGCAGCATTTCTGACCATACCTGCTCCAATGACATACCATGTCTTAATACCATGTTTCACAATACAAACACCTGATTCCTTAGAAAAATGATCAACACTGAATATGAATAGTTACCCAGTTACCCAGTTTTCTCACATACAGTAAGACAATCTTTCAGGTAGTTTCCCACCTTCACTATAGTTGGAATGTAGTTAATTTATAATATTGAAATATTTCTGATTGGTTTAATTTGCCCACAAATTACATCTAACTGTTTCACAGCTAGATGACTACAGTCACTTACCAGGTTCCCTGAAACCGCCAAAATTTCGTGGGAGCGTGCTGGACATTGTATAATTGAAGGACAAAGGAGAGGGGCTTCTCTCTGGCCGAGGCGACCTGCGGCCCATCTGACTGCTGTCATAAGGGTTCAGCAGGTTGCCAGAGGAGTGGACTGAGCCAGACCGAGATGACTGGTCAAAAGAAACAGCTGTGGGGTTCGGGGAGGGGCTCCTCTCGATGTAACTGATTGAGCCTCGTGGGCTCCTGTCATAATTAGAAGGGGGATTACGTCTTGGGGTGTGAGGTGAGTGCTTGGGGCTCTGCTGGCTGTACGAGTAGCTCTCAGATCCAGCTCGAGGAAGGGGAGAGTGTGACTCCCTGTGGATCTTAGGGGATGAGAGTGGGCTGATGGAGGAGACAGAAGAGGAGGATGTTTTTTTATTGCTGGAGATGAGGGAGTCCACGGGATGGAAAGTTGTTGAGCTTGAGGAGATAGGCTGGGAACTGAAGCTGCCATTACTGCTGCCACTTGACTCCCTAATAGTGGTGGAGGTGTTAGACAGCTCGGTGGACAGAGGCTTCTCTCTGTAATTTGTAGAGCTCGTCTAAATGGGAAAATGTATCTGTTATAAATACAGTTATTACTCTAAAAATATAAGGAATGACTATTACTCATTTTCATTAAATTTAACAAAGATAAAACAATACTTATGTATCTTGTTGGCATTCAATAACTACTGCACAAATGTGAAGGGTCTATTTCTCACAGAAATATGTTGTTGAATATTAACAACACCATTATTGTTGTTTAAATTTAGGGAAATAACAGTAGTAGATTTAGTACATTTAGCTTGGAAAATAGACAGGTAAACCATACACATTTTATCTTTTAAGAAATAATGATGAAAGAAACCCTCTAATAGAAAACCCAGACACTAATAGTATGCTAGAGGCTAGCTATGAGAGGGTGCAGAACTTTAACTCACTAAAGAGGGACACTCACACATGTATGCACACTTTTAAAAACTACAAACTGTGGCAAACTAACAGCTAAAAGGAGAAAACCAGTGCTGAAGGTTTGTGTGTACCTTAGACCCAGACGTGGTGTTGTTGTCGTTGGAAGAGGCCTCCTTCAGCAGGGAGTTGAACTCTCTGGATAACTCATCTGCTGTAGCCAACGATGCATTCAGGTCCTCATTTATACTCTGGACTGAATATAAACCACATAAGCACAAAAGACAATTAGCAAAGGATAATAGTCCCATGTGCACAAATATACACTGAGCCAAAGAGACAAATCAAGGACTTGTGGGAACTCACACAGCATGCTGCTGCCATAGCTTGTCTGGGAACTCATGGCTGTGAGGTAGCAGCTTTCAGCTCCTGAAAAAAAATAATAAAAAAAATACCACAGCTGTTAGGAGAACAGTCTCACACCACTTTCAGCTCACAATAGTTTCACAATTACATGAGATGGATTCCCATTCAGCACTTTCAGACATTTTATGGGAATCGGCATGCTCCAGCCAATGATATAATGTAACAGCATAAGGGTTCGTATGAACAGGCTTCGTTCTCTGCCCTCTAGGCTCCTCTCATTCCATTCCAGTCCAGTCTTTAACTCTTGATGCAATAAAATTACACTGTGGCTTCTAACTGAAAATGCTAAGTATTGTTTAACCCTACCCTTTCTTTCCTGCTGCAGGCTCCAAGCTTTCTTACCCTTTCAGATGCTCCGATAAGAAGCCAACTTTGTGGGAACACATAACCTGAACGCCCTTCTTGTCTGAACAAGCCTGGGTTTCCCCATGGTTTGAAAATTTCAGAAGAAATCTTGTAGGCATGCTTGGAGCGACTTATGTGGTCACGCCACTCAATGAAATCACAGCCCTATGAAGGCCATTTTAGAAAAACAGTTTGCAGTGTCTTTCCTGTTTGCTGATCTCTGGTGCCAGGTGTTTCAGCTTAGTATCACATACGACTGGTCTGTTTGAAAGCCAGGTTCAGACAGACAGGTGCAGTACACAGCTCGTGAAGTGGATGACAGATTATATTAATACTCCAGACAGCTGTGTATGCCAACAGGTCAATTAGTCCAGACTGACAAAAAGCTATGCAAAGTTCAAGGTTCATTTATTTGTCATTCTAAAACATAGGGTTGTACTTTTTAGGCTTTCTGCAGGAATACAGTCATTTCCGAGCTTTGTTTACCAGGAAATGACAGATTCAAATAATGCGTTAATGCCAAAAGAAATCACAGCATGCCTGATAATCACTTACAATATATGCATATCTGCAAATGAATTCATAGTCAAACATTTCTGCTCATTAATAGGATCTGTCTGACAACTGTAGCTGTCAAATATTGAGTAAATAAAGACTGTGTAAGACTATAATCAGATCAATTGTCAGCTTGTATTTGTGGGCAGTATGGATGACACATTTTGTAAAGGTAAAATATAAAGAAGTCAATAGTACTAGGGACATAATAGAAGCATCTAATTCATGAACTGTGAACATGATTCTGTGGCATCTTCTTCATGAACATAAAATACACCACATTAAGCGTCTCTCTCTCTTTTAAGGATTGTAAAGCTTTAATATTGTGGAGAACCTTTAGTTCATTACATTTTAAAGGGAACAGTAAGTCCTGATATGACTTTCACACATGTGGATAAAATTAATGCCATGTTAGTCCAAACTTAATATGTTATTTCAGACCATACCATAAATATGTGCATGTTGGTGCTCATTAAATAGTAAATCTTAAAATCCTTAGTTGAATCATATGTTTATCCAAATGTGTTGGGACATTTTAACACACTTGCACCTCATTTACAAACATAAACTGAACTAATAATGGCCATGTAAGCATAGTCACACAGACGCGCGGAAAGTGAGGTCAGTGTCTCGGCCTGTGGAAAACAAGGAATCCACTGTCACTGATGAATCAGCCACTAGGCCTGTGACCACTCAACATGTCTGTGAGCTATTTTGGTAATTTTCTTACTTCAAAAACAAACCATGGCTACTCCTAAACTATTGTATACTGTGTCATCACTTTGCTGTTTTTATAGTATGACACAAATGATTGTTTTCCCTTGAGCCCACTATGCCTTGCCTACAAGTTCTTGGGTTAGTGATTTCCAGAGTAACCTTAATTTGTGGGGAGGTTGTATTTCTGTGAGACTGAAACTATGAAAAAATACATGATCCAACAACTCCAAAGCTTCTTTTGTGTATCTTGTTCAATTATGTTGAAACAGAAAACAAGAAATGATACACAGAGGCCACTGTAAAAAAGATTAAGGTATTATTTCCCTTTTTAGCTCTTCGTGTTAAGCTACGTTACATATTGTATCATTTGCTGTACATGACAAACTTCTTCTTTTTTTAAATTGGGCATAAAGAGGGAGGGGGAGGCGTTAATCTTTGTTGCCACCTTTAATCATACACCCTTAAAACTAGACCAACATCAACTGACTTTAGATTATACACATCCTTCTCAGTTACTGGATAAGTCCCCCCCCCCAACACCAGTTAAACATTTGCCAGGGCTAGAGGAAAACATGTGTTATATAAGGTCATCAGTCTGAAGTGTGCAGTAGAGTCAGATAATAGTTGTTCTTTTCACACTGTGTACTCTGCTGTACTGTCACAATTGTCATGTTTCAGTCAGGGCTGTTCACAGGCTTCCATTCCTCACCACTCCTCCAAGTGAGGCATTCACCTCACACACAGTCAGGGACGCTTATCTTTGTGAAGAACAGCTCACACAACAACAGATTACACTCTCACTGACTCACAGAGGTCAGGTTGCTCACTCACTGAACTCTCCCCTTCCTGCCCTGCAATTCATTCACCCCACCCGTTCCCTCCCTGTTACACTCTTCTGCATTGCACGTCCTCTGTTTTCTCTTCACTGGTTCTATTAAAACTTTTACTGTGTTGGTTACCATCTGTGTACATCGGCGCACTTTCCTACACCTTCAATAAAATATGAAGATTATTTATGTTTCACCAAAAATCAGTGACATAGCTAGTGGCGTAGTAGTGGCATCAACTGTTTCGCACGTCTTGTGGGAGATTGGACCATTTAACCTACATAGTGAAAGAGCAGGTCTGCGTTCGAGGGGCAGAATGCGAACGAAAGAGGCACTGTTCACCTTATTATAAGTCAGTGTGGCATCAAAATGATTTTGAAGCTTTTATTTGAAGGTACAATAGTTTCATAATGTTGCTTTAACTAGTAAATATTTGTGGATTAGTTTGGGAATTTTATTTTTCTCTTTACTTAAGCCTTATTTCACTGTGACTTAACTGAAAAAAATGTGCTGCAAGTAAACAATAAGTACATATTAATTATTAATTAATATAATTAAAAACATTTCTCATCAGTTACTAACATCTTTATTATAAAGGGTTAATTCACAGATTATAAACTGAAACCAAGGGTATTACCTTACTTCCTTTATGACTTTATATTTCTTGCTCTATCATCTCATTTTGTCATTGCCTGGTGATATATTTGTTATAATCTTCTTGTTTTTGTTCTTTATCTTGACAGCTTTTGTTGGTAATTTGCATCTCGTCGTCCTTTGCTTTTCTTATCAGCATACTTTATGACTGTGCAAATAAGCTAAAGTAAACTAAACAGCATAGACCAGACTTGGTAAAATTGTAAAAGTATATATAGAGAATAATATTCACTATATGCATTTTTGCATTCTCCATAAAGGTTTTCTAGGAACAGCCAATATAGTATCATGTGAGGCAACTGTTACACCTTAGAGTACACACCCAATATATAGGGGTGTTTGTCTTTAAGTATTGAATCACGCAAACATTAATCATCTGAAAATTGAAAGTGGACTGACAGCTTGTGGCCACTGCAGTGGTGCTGTCCTCTATTCTGGGCTTGCTGATCTGCTGCCACACTTGGGTTTCTTTCTCAAGAGAAGTTTCCTGGAAAACCTCATGTTCCCTTTCTTTCAGTTCCTTTCCACTGCTTTGATTACAATGTCAGCTGGTTCTACCATTTTAACAAACAACAATTAGCTCTCTCGAGTGGTAAAGCCAAGATGAAAACCACATGATGAAACCTTAAAGGAGCACTTAACAAAACTACTGGCTACCTCTGCATAGTAGACTCTAAAAAGTTGGGAACTTTGTTAACAGATACTCAAAAAAGCAGAGATCCTGTGGGAAGTAGAGAGGAGATAGGATTAAATACAATAATCATTAGCTTTGCAGAATGCCAGGGTGTGTCTGACCAAGACGACAAGCAGTCCCTCCCTCTTTTCCTTTTCCTTCACCAACAATCCCAGATTACACATCAAAATGAGTCTCTAGTTTCTGCTGAACTTATTTCCATCCAGGAATCCCCCCCCCACTATTATTTGTCCCTCCTCCATATCCTTCCTCCAGATCTTTTTGGCATTGTCTCCGTTCTCATTCTTGGCAGGGATCGTGTTTAAGACTGAATGATAAAAGAAATTCCTCTGACACGACCAGACACTTCCCTTTGTGGCCTACTTTTCATATTTCTTTGACGTGGAGTCCTAAAATCAAAGTCTGGCTGTATGTCATCAAGCAGACGACATAAACACATTATGTCACACAGGTAAATCTGCTACTAATCCCCACAGCTATGATTTTACAGGCCTGTGGTGAAACACTCTCGTAGGTATATGACTGTTTTTTGCTTTCACACGGTCAACAGATAGAAACTGAAACAGACATGGATAACAGAACTAAACAGAGATAAGTAAAAATACACATAGAAGTATTATACAATTAGGTAATTATGGTGTATATATAGATATACTGTATATAAAAAGCAACATTAAAACCCTGGTATCATTGGTCTGAAGTCCATTGAAGGTATTTTCGTGCCTGGATAACATCGAATGTAATGTTGATCTTGGCTCGCCACTATCTCATGTGATGGGATGGGAATCATTCGAAATGGGCTGTTGGCATTTGGAGATTAAGGCCATGGCTAATTGTGCAAATACAGGAGAGATGTATTGTGTAATTATTGTGTGAAACATCAGGGATCTAGGAAGGAGATCATCTGGTTAATTTGGGGGTTTTATCTTCATTACCTATCTGCCTAATCTTATAGATAATAAAACTATAACCAAACTGTCATGTAAGTAATTAGCTGTATTGATGTTTTTTCTTTTTCTTTAGCTGCATGAGCTGTTAAGTTAAATGTGATGACTTCCCTGCTTGACATATGACCTACCAGAACTGGTTTATTAATCATGTAATCTACTCCCAGACTAAAACAACTGTAAGCTTTTAAAATACAGAAAACTCCACCCAAGGTAGTTATTTTTATAATGCTTACAACCGCACCTCCAACCTAATAAGTCACTGAAATGCTGTGCCTTCATAAATATGCACACACACTCTATTCTTGACAGCAACCGTCAATGCCAAAGACAACGGCAAACAATGCACCTCTTTTGATCCACTCAAGCTTAGGATAACAATCAGTCCTAGCTGACACTGAGGGTACATAAACTTTATGTGAACCAAAGGATATTTTCTGAGGTGATTAAAATATAATCCCTACGCAATACAAGTTGTTTGGTTCATGATGCTATAGGCTCTCCTTTGACACAGTGGCTACTTGCACTATTCCAGCTATCCTCTGCACTTCTAGAGCAACACTGTTCTCCACAGCATGTGACTCAGGAATCTCTCAGTGCTGCACAACATAACAGACATTTCTGGCGAGCTCCATTTAATACCTGCAGTGTGTCGTGCTCACGCTGAGGTACAAGAAATACAAAGCAGGACCATTACCAAAAAGTAGAGCAGCTGTGCATATCTGCCCTTGCATGTTTGTGCATGCAAGAGTTTTTATCACTTAGAAGAAAGTTAAATTACAGGTGTAATTTAACGACAGTATGAGCACTTGTAGGCAACAGGTTACAGCAAGTGCATCACACAATGCAGCCTAGCTGGTTTTTGAGACCCAGCTCAGGGTGCACAAGCTGGATAGCTTCCAACTCCTGTCCGACAGGAAAGTTTAGTTTGTTTGCAACCCTGCAAATGAGTCCAGCAAATAACTGACACATATGAACTTAACAGTACATGTTTCACAGCAACACTTAAAATCACCATTAATAGGATTTGTCTACTGTCACAATATGGCAAACATCCAACAAAATGATCACATAAAAGCTCATAAAATACCATTTAATCAGATAACATCACTGTTAAATCGGCTACAGGTCTTAGTAAGTATCACTGGCTGTAAAGTGACTCTCAGTGTGGGGTTGTACAGGATGCACGAGTCTGTCAATGTCCAGCAGCTGGCTGGTGCACTTAAGCTTCCCTTTGTGGTTGTAGACTGTAAGGCATGCCAGGCAGGGATGGTAACATCTGATTTTCATTAGTTTGAGAACAAGCTCCTCCTCGCATTCAAGACCCTTCACAATGAACCATGGAAAGAAATAGCCTATTCAACATTAAAACCAAAGGCGTCTTCATAACTGTTTGTTACTTAACTGGAGCCACGAAGTGACTCAAAGAGCTGCACCAACCACACACTACTTGCACAACACGGACGCGATCTCTCATAAGAAAACTATGTGTCTTCACCTCGCACAGTGATTCCCACGCACATAGGTACGTACGCTGTATTATGGGACGAATACAAAAAACTTCCTTACCTCACAAGATGAGAGCCGTTCTTCCGTCCCAAATATTCGAGAGGTAAGCTGAGCCCTGTACAAAGTTTCTTGTCCTTCCTGAGGCTGGGTTGCTCAGTCTGTGTTTCTCTCTAGCGGTGGTTGCTCCAGACATTTAGTCATCGCTGCATACTGAGTCGAGTTATTTGGGCTGTAGAGTCCAGCCCCTCTGGCTGTCTCCACTGCTGTAACCCGAGCCAGGTGTTTCTACCACAGCTGGTCCAGGTGAAGCATACCATCGTACTGAGCTGGCAGTTTTTACTGTGACTTTTTTTAAATGTAATGCAATATAGTAATAATAAATAAAAAAGTAGTTTATACGTTGCGTAATTTCTTACAGGAACACATAACACACACTACAGCATTAACATTATTACCCCCAGCAGATATAACACACTTTGTATAGGCCTACAGAAATCTAAGTAATCATATATAGATAGATAGATACTTTATTTATCCCGAGGGAAATTCAAGTATCCAGTAGCATACAAAACATACATTACATACATTAAACATATATTAAAAAATAAATGAAATTAACTTATTAATATATGTTTTATTATACATTTAAATGATACACATTAAATATATTCAACCTATATATGAACACACGATTAAATAACTATGTTTTTTTTAAATTACTATTATTTAATGACATAAAAATGTGGTAGGCTACAAACATCTCAATACCAACAAACAAATTACAGATTGTTATGGCTCTAAAGTATATTGTATATTCAGTAGCTGTTGTTTCACCTGCTATCTCATACATTACAATACCAGTCATTATATTCTTATTCATGCTGCTGTTAAAATCATACTGACTTAAAATAAGATCAATAAGCCAAACTTTATCGATTATTTATATTTATATATTTTTTTTATTTATAATTTATCATTATGAAAACAAAAATACAATAAATATCAGTATCTACATCTTATCTGGACTCACATAAACTCAAATATTAGGAAAAATGAGTCAGATAATGAAACTGAACTCGTGTTTTTTTGTTTTTTTTTTACGTGCGTGACTCGTTCTGTCAATCACTTTTAACGTCATCACGTAACGTCAACGTCCCCCCCGCCCTACGCTGGTGAAGCGTTTCCGCCAAGATGGTTGTCGGTGCTTTCCCTATCGCCAAGCTCCTCTACCTCGGAGTGAGGCAGATGAGCAAGCCTGTGGCGAACCGAATAAAAGCGGGAGCCCGGAGAAGCGACTTCTTCAAGACTTACATCTGTCTGCCGCCGGCACAGCGTAAGTAACCGAGTTAATGCCCGCCAATGACCGCTAGATTTCAGTGTCAGACGCCCCGGTCGGTGGATGAAGCGAGCACGACTGCAACAGCCAATGGGATTGTAGTTCTCAAAACCGCTCAGCCAATCGTGTTCACGGGTTCACCTGGTCGACCAATAGCAGCCGGGGACGAGGGCGGGTCTTGTTTGTCATTGAGCAGGTTGTAGCTTTGCTTTCAACAGAAGCTGCGATACTTTTTGCCCCTTTTGCCCCTTTTTGCCCCTTGTCCTGCTCAGAAAATTACATCATTTTAATAGTTATTATTTTTAAATATTATATGTTTTTCTCCAGCGACTGTGCTCTGTTGTTTAAGGAGTATAAAACGCTGTTAAATTGGAAGTTAAAGCTACTTGTATTCAGTTATTTATACTGAATATGCAGAAAACTTGTGTTAAAAGGACTTTACTGCAGTAGTAGTAGTTACAATAAATGTTTAACTTTACACACAAAAGCCTTTAAACAAAGAACAGGGCACAAGAGCACGTTAAAATGAGACTTTTAGTCTTTTAGTGCATGAAAGAAAGCCTTTATTATAAGATACATGGTGTTTGATTATTCAAAGAAATATCTCACTCAATAAAATGGACAAAAATTGACAGTTTTTTTTTAATTAAGACAAAGTAACAAACAGGAAACGTTTTTCAAGAGGACTTCACTGAAGTAGTAGTAGTGGCATTGCATTCTCACATGTATTTTAAACTGTTTACTTGCAATCAGATTGCAAATGTGAATAACACTGACATATAACATTGAACTAACTGTAACCGTGCACTCTGTGTTCACAGTTTACCACTGGATTGAGATGAGAACGAAGATGCGGATCATGGGCTTTCGGGGCTCCACCATTAAGCCGCTGAACGAGGAGGCGGCTGCGGAGCTGGGCGCAGAGTTGTTGGGAGAGGCTGTCGTCTTCCTCGTGGGTGGCGGATGTATGGTACTGGAGTACAGCAGACAGGCCGCGAACTCGCGCCGCAAAGAAGAGGAGCTGAGCGACACCATCACAAGCCTACAGACTCAGCTAGCAGAACTTGCACTAACCACAGAGACTCTAGATGCTCAGCTGAGAGAGGTCAACAGGCAACTGGTGTCCTTTCCTCTTCCCACCAAAAAGTGATGAGATTAGGTCTTTGCTATACGACGTGGCCCTGTTTGTTGGTCTGTGTGTGAAAGTACAAGATAGTACTGCCATGTGTACAGCCTGATAATGACCCTGCTTTAGTCCACCCTGTCCAGTAAATTGGGGGGGAAGAGGTGGACATGAGCATATCAGTGCGCTGTGGCTTTGGCTACTATCATTATCTCATGTTTTGAGCAACTAGCTGCGAAGGGGGATTGCTATGATATTCATAGTGTATGTCTATGGTTGGCCTTGCATGTTCATCATAAAGTTGACTGTATATAAAAATTGGCCGGAAAAGGCAATGGTGACTGTAAAGTTAATATATTTTATAACAACTCCAGAATATTGCTTTATCTTTTCATTTCAGTGATCGTCATGGAGCTTAATCATTTAGGAAATGCTGATTTTCATGCTCTTCTGGCTTCATTAAATGCAAGTGCCAGTCATAAATGAGAAACATTTTGTGTATTTGATTGAAGGCCAAAAGCGGACAACAAAAACAAAAACGTGGGTCACATCAATGGGTTATTTGTGTGT